CTTAGATGCATTTAAACCTGTTGTAGGGGACTCCGACACAATATTAGGACACTTTAAAATACCATATGACCTGCTCTTTAAAGTAATCTACGTGTTGTTGCACAACTTCTTGCACAGCAAGTGGTGCAACTACGAACTTTACTTTGCCCAACAATTATTATATTATAATTATTTCTTAAAAGTACAAAAATAATTGTTAAAGGGGTCATATGTGATTTCAAGTTTTCCTTTCTCTTTGGAGTGTTACAAGCTGATTGTGCATAGATAAGATCCCTGAAGTTGCAAAGACTAAAGTCTCAAAACCAAAGAGATATACTTTATCAAAGTTAAGACTCTGCCATGCCCCCCTAAAACGGCTCGTTCTAACACGCCCCCACATATCTACCTCACTATGTGGAAATATTTGCATAATGTGTGTGTTTGTGTGTGTGTGTGTGTGTGCTCGAGCAAGAGAGAGCGAGAGAGAGAGAGAGGGGGGGGGTCACATCACATATACCAGCTTCATCACTGTGTCTGTCACGCGACTCTGTTCCCCTTTCGGGCTCTGTCTTTACATTTATTGAAAGATGAAGCTCGCGATGAAGCTCGCGGAGTTACAGTTCCGACGAGTGCTTGCGGTGTTCGGCCAATCACAATGCACTGGGTCAGCAGGCCAATCAGAGCAGACTGCGCTTGTCGGAAGGAGGGACTTTGTAGAAAAGGAAGCGTTTGAGAGAGGCGGGGCATAGAGGACCTATTTATAATGTATATGAATACATTTATAATAAATAAACTATTTATAATGAATAATGTATTTTTTGAACATTAAAGCATGGCAACATATTCTGTTACACCAAATACACAAAATAATGATCTTTAAAAAAAGCATCATATGACCCCTTTAATGGAACCATCAAGGAATCAGAATTATTAATAGGAATTGGCATAATTGATTCTCATTCCTCTGTATGTATTAATCTTAAAGGAAAACTCATCTTAATTATTTTGATCTTGCTGTTTTGTTCTACAGGGACATCAGTAATCCAGATATAATGCGCTTCGACTGGAGCTTTACCTGGCTTAATCATGTCCGCCAATTCATTGTATGGAATGTGAACTTCAACAGCGTGCCATGCGACTCGTGGCCGGAGATGCAAAGTGTTGAGCTTCTGGACATCTCTAACAACCAGCTGAGGGACAGTTATATTTATAACCCACTATGTGACATTAGAAATGCACTGCACAAGCTTGAAACCTTCAAAGTCAGTCGCAATCGACTTACCAGCCTCAGTGACTTGGCATCTCTGACCAAAGACTTTGTCAAG